CACGGCAAGAATAAATTATGTCAAAATAGATACACCCATAATGTATATGTGGAGATATATGTATATATACATATAGATATAACTTGTATGTACAAAAGTATGTTAAATTAAATCATGTGGGAAATGCTTGAATCTTCGTGATCATGAGGCCTTACAAAAAATTAGATAATCATGCACTTATTCGGTGATAAATGCACGCGCACACACACACACACACACATATATATATATAATATAGATATGTTAGAGTAAAGCTATGTATAATTTTAAAATAAGCCTTTTGTGCCAATTTTTTAAGTTAATTTTTATGTACTAAAATTAAATTTCTCCACCGTGTTAATTATTGTTAGATATATACGAGTATAAATATAAATTTAATACGGTATTTGATAATTTGGATTACTTGTATATTATTGTCAGATCATGTAAGACACTCATTTGGATACAGTGTGATATGGTATTTGATACCGTTTCATACCCAAAGAGAGGTAAACTAAAGTGGCCTCGTGAAGAAACAATATAGAAAAAGATGCTCGCAAGTTTTGGCTTTTGTTTCATAAAACTTGCATAATTTAGGGTTAAGAAAAGTAGGATAAATGGACGTATCTGGTACAGGTTCATGTAATATTCTCTGCTGTAGGAATTTATGCCACGGTAAAATATTAGCTTTCTATAATGCTTTTTAAAGGCGAAATTCACTTTTATGTCTAAAATTGATAGATGTAGAAGATAGAGTAATGTAAGCTGATTAGGTAGTGAATTCAGATTGAGAATGGCTAAAGCCATTAGAAAAAAAGGGAATTGCTACTAAAAAATGCTAGGTTTCCGAGTGTTGGTAGAGGTTACGAGGCATGGGAGAGATAAGTATAGGTAGCTTATGGACTCAAGGATTCATCTAAATATGGACAATAGTTCGTTATTCAATAACTCTATAGACTCTTAGGGTCAGGACTTGCCTACTAACTAAGAATCTATTATAAAATAGGAAGTCTTTCAATGAGAGGGAGTAAGAAGGAAAAAGAAGATCTTAGAGGTATTTAATTCCAATGACTTAGATTTAAAGTTTCACTGAACTTGTAGGGTTGTCTATCATAATTTATCTAAGAAAGATAGATTAAAAAGATTTAAATCTTAATAGTTTTAACCCTTAAATATTTAAGAAGTATAAGGATTTTCCAACTGAAAATAAGAGAATATTACCCACAGGCATATAAAAACTTTATTTGTGTTATTTTTAGGAATAACATTTGCATAACATGAGCATATAAAAACTCCAAGATAATTATATATATGTTATTAATGATATAGTAGGTGAAATAAAAATAAATAACTTAACTAATGTCATTAACAACCTATATATGGTTATCTTGAAGTTTTTATATGTCTATATAGGAAGCTTAATTACACGTAAATTTACATACAAATTGATAACAACTTAAAAATCTTCATGTCGTTAAGAAGATAATATGCAGGGACTCAACATTAAGGTTGCTCAGGCAACCATTTCTCTCTCCGTCGTAGATAAGGTAATCATTCTCCACTAGGCTACACTAATATTTTGAAGTAGCAAATCTCTCCCATTTGGAATTCTTCTCTACATATCGTCTGATCGATATCTGTAACTTATTTTCATAATAGAGTATCCATATAATACTCGTTTTAAATTACCTTGCAATCGTATATCTATCGTAATAAGGTATCTTTGTTTAACTGGTAAGTTAAGTTAAAGGACTTGAAATTCACGTACTGCGTTATCCCAATTTTATTTAAATTGACACAACTAGGCCCAAGAGAATTAGTTGATCTTTTTTCTTTCCTTTTTTGCCCCTACTAGAAGGATGAAATTAGGGTTTTCAATCGATTGTAATATACTTTAAAGAAAGAAAAAAAGACATTGCATTATGAAAGTATTATATATATAATTACCCTGATCAAGAACTCCGTACTAACTTTTTTAAAAAAAATATATATTTTTCAACTCATTCAGCTACTATCGAAAATAAAATTAAAAATTAAGTACTTTTTAGATGTTTCGATCATTATTTGTAACCTTAAATATTTTGATAGTTTGAGAAATTCTTTAACTCTTAAGTTTTGGACCCCACTTTGACTAGAAGGTATTTTCTTATAATATCATAAATTATTTAATTATATAAAATAAAAAATATATAGATATATATATAAGAGTAAAAAGTTGTGAAACTCAAGGAGAAAACAGGTTGGCAAGAAAATCCCAGCCGTCCATCTGGATAGATATTTAAACGGTCGAGATCGGCCTAACAGGCATGCGGATAACGTTAGATGGGTGGGCTTTGCAACTGTCACGGCGTATCATCTCGACAGCGCTGTCACAGACGGGATTAATATATTTTAATGTAATTAAATTAATTTTAATTAAACCAAAATTTAATTTTAATTTAAAAAGTATTAATTTAATTAAGTTGATTAAGCAGGCAGGCGTACGTCAGCGTGGAAACTGGGTTGGTAATATATAAATGCAGGCACGATACATATTTAATATTATTATAATAATATTTATATAATTAAAAGAATATAGTATGATTAATTAATTAATTAATTAATTAATTAATTAAAATAGGAGATGGTTCACATGACGAGAGATGGTTTTTAATTAAATATTAATTAATTAACTGTCTTTAATTAAATATTATCTGATATTTAAAGTATAAAATATATATCTATATATAATTAAAAATATAAAATTAAAAAATAAATCTTCTTCTTCTTCCTTCTAGTTATAAAAATTAAGTTTTTTTTTTCCTTAAAATTATTAAAAATTAATTTAAAATAAATACTAAATTTTATAAACTAATTTA